GGACCACGTGAACCTCCCAAGCTCTCTACAAAGGTTGACTTTTGGTTTCTATTTTAATCAGAGCCTGGAGCGGGTGAGATTGCCAAGTGGTCTTCGAAGCTTGAATTTCGGCTTACAGTTCAACCAGAGCTTGGACCGCGTGAGCTTGCCAAATGGGCTGGAAAGCTTGACGGTCGGAGATTCGTCTCAGGAGAGGATGGCTTTGGGTGTTGGCATGGGTTTTGATATCGTGGCTTGCAATCGGAATGTCAAACAGAGCCTGGATCGAGTGACCTTGCCAAGCAGTCTTCAGAGATTAGTTCTGGAGGGGGTCTTGCTGAGCTCCCAGTGACCAGCATGTCTGCACAGTCTGTCAAAAGTGCCCTTGCACTACATCTTGCAGGAAGCTGGGGTGAAGTTGAGGCTTTTTTCGAGTGGTCGCTTCCAAGCAAGGTTTGATGATGACAATCTATATATGAACATGTAACATATCATACATTTACATATCATATAAATTAACCTGTTTGGTTCCATGGCCGCGCCTTCCAAGAATCCAAATGCTAGAAGGCGATGGACCGTTCATCACATGTCACATGCCATGTATGAACTTGGCATGGGGCGTTTGATTTTCCCGGGCAATTAACATGGGAATCACTTCCAACATACTTCCAACACTCATCAGTGCTATTTTCATCAATTTTCTAGGCCACTTCAGGGACTCCTTGGGACTTCGACCTCCAAAAATCTCCCAACATCACGACACCCCGAAAGGCCCCGAAAGGCCCCGAAAGGCCGGACATGGCGCAAGAGCGCATCAAGCGCGCCAGGCGTCAACGATGCGCAAAACGTCTCTGGTCAGAAGTTGCAGAGGGCCCTCCTGGAGGCGACGAAGTTAGGAGGGCCCCATTTCTTCGTGGATTTTCCATGGGAATTTGACCAGGGATTTGGTGGGAATATCATGGGATGTATATGGATATTGAATGATGGATATTGATATTGATATAACATGATATAACCAACATAACCAACTCAAGATAATTTGGGTTTGCCTGGAGTATTTACACCAAGTGATGGTCATTTTCATGGGAAAATGGAGAAACCATTGGACTCCGGGTGCATCCAAGGCCGTCATGGCCCGAGCCATGAACAGATGCGTCAGTTCAAATAGTGGTTCTCAGTTCTCTCCCTTCAAGGAATCATCACGCATCACCACGTTGCAGCTGCAAAAAGCATTGCAACATTCACGGCAGAAGAGTGATCCAAGTTGCCAGACACATCCTGAAGACAGTCAAAGAAACCACGTGGGAAACTCAGCATTCGTCCCATTCTTTTGTCGTTTTTGTTTTTGTGGAACCGCCATGGGAAACTGGCAGCGGCGCCGTGAATAGCTGGCGATGTTTGCGCAAGACTACGACAATGATGACGCTCAGCTGCCTCTTGAGGGTGACGCGCAGCCCTTTTTGTTTTTTTTTTCCTCTCCTTGGTGCCACCACATTAAACAACTCATCACAAAACAAAACAGATAGTAAGATTCGGATGACTTATCCCCTACTCTTCATGATAAATAGTAAGATGACTAAGTCAGGGGATGGGGTCAATGATGGAACCGTTTACTCACCTGCAATGATTCAGATAATCCGCTGGGCGATTCCCAGGGGAAGAACCACACAGAAACCAAGGAAAGTAAGGTAAGAGTCCAGCGAAGGGGGTGAACCCCAGGCCCAAATTCGTGGATTTTCCAGCAGAAGTTGAGATTTATGGTCAGACCTAGTCGACATTTCCACTCCCGCAAAATGGGCCTCGTTCATCAATTTGGGCATGTTGCATCGCAAAACCTTCCAAATATAGACAATTTGAGGTCAAACATCTCCAGTTTTTCCATCCAGATACATTCATCAAGACTCTCTTGCTGCATCTTATTTCCATAACCCCCGAAGAAAATGCAAGACTAGAAAACTCGATGCAAAGACCAGTGGTCCCCCCTCAAGATTTCCCGCACTTTTCCATCACCCAGAAATTACCAGAAGGAGCTCAGGAAAAATCAATGAAAAAACAGGAAAACCAGCTGGACAACCAGCACTTTTACCCACCATCAAACGTGGCAATGGAAAATCCTCCCTTTATAGATTTTCCCACTGGAACCTCCATTTAGTTTGGTGATTTTCCAGCCCAGGATGAGCTCAGTGGCGACGACCGCGGCCGTTCTCCAAGGGGTGCTGGGGGCTACGCCAGCCGTGCGGCTGATGCGGTGGAGCGGCGCATTGCAGAGGCCGTGGGGCCGTGAGGCCCTTATAACTGGAAGTGAAGCAGCCCATACCAAGCCCAATGCTAAGTCATCTAAGTGGTAAGATCAGGGGGTTTGACCAACAACGCATCAGATTTTTTAAGAAAGGAATTTGAACCTTTTGATTTCAATTCTTTGCCATCCGTAAATGGGAGATTCAACTTCGGGATTCAAGGGAAAAAAGGAATTTCGACCCTAAAAAAATATACCGCCAAGAGACCCCAAACAGTGTGGGGGAGTGGGAGGACAATGGATGATGATGATGATGATGATGACGATGATGACGATGACGATGACGATGATGATGATGATGATGATGATGGATAATGGATGATAGATGATGGATGATGGATGAATGAGGAATGATGAATGATGAATGATGAATGATGACGACGACCATGATGATGATGATGATGATGACGATGATGATGATGATGGTGATGGTGATGCTGATGCTGATTGTGATGGTGATGGTGATGGTGAGGATGATGGTGAGGATGAGGATGATGATGATGATGAGGAGGAGGAGGAGGAGGAGGATGGTGCGGAAGATGAAGTGGAGGATGCTAAGGTGGATGGTGATGTTGCAGAGAAGAATGAGGAAGATGATGGTGTTCTGTTGAGGAGGATGAATGATGCTGATGGTGGCGGTGATGGTGATGATGATGGTGATGATGATGATGATGATGATGATGATGATGACGAGGATGATGATGGGGATGCTCATGCGGAAGATGAAGTGGAGAATGATAAGGTGGATGATGATGATGTAGAGAAGGAAGATGATGATGTTGAGGAAGATAAAAATGATGATGATGATGATTATGATGGTGGTGGTGATGATGATCATGATGATGATGATGATGATGATGATGATGATGATGATGATGATGTTGACGATGATGACAATGGTGATGATGATGGGGATGATGGTGATGATGATTATGATGATTATGATGATTATGATGATGATGAGGAGGAGGATGATGATGAGGATGATGAGGATGATGAGGATGATGGTGAGGATGATGAGGCATCACAAGAGCCACTTGATACGGAAATTGACAGGAGACATGCCGCAGACTAGAATGAGCCCAGAACGCGGACACACACTTTGTGCGAGCTTGCGCAGTCGAAATGCACTTTCAACATTTCACAAGAGGCATCACAAGAACAACCATACGAAAATTTATAGGAAAAAGGCCGCGGCCCAGATTGAGCCCATACCGCGGACAGTCACTTTGTGCAAGCCTGCGCAGTCGAAATGCATGTCAACATGTCACAAGAGTCGCTTTAAACGGAAATTTACAGGAAAAATGCCGCGGCTCAGCTGGAGCACCCTGATCAAGCACCGGCCCTTACACTTACCGCAAGAAAACCTCAGTGTGGACACACTGTTTGGGGAAAAAGGAATTTCGCCCCTGGGGTTTCGCGGACCTTTGGGCCGCCATTGGACTAGGAAGCATGCTGACCACCACCAGAAAGACGCAAGTAAATGATGAACAACATAGCATCAAGTCACATCACATCATGTATTTTGTCTTGGGGTTCTGCAACTAACTAACAGATTCAAATCATCCTCGTGAACTTGAGGTTGAAACCCAGCAGAGTGATTCAATGTGGTCAGTACCTGAGAGGAGGAGAAAAACACATTGCCTGGAACGTTGGGGCAATTTTCTTTCAAACCTCGCTGGAACTTTTTGAGGTGAAAATAACAGTGGAGAATGCAGCACCGCGGTGAATATCATATAACATACATATATATACATATATAATGTTTCTTTTGGTGGTGGATTCCCCTTTTGAACCTCATTCGAGGGTCTTGCGCCTGCCTTACTCCAGTGCAATCCCCCGGCATTGCGGGGCAGAAGGGTATCCTATAAGATGATCCACCAGCCCTACTTTAGCACGACTGGTCAATTCAACTGAGGCCTAAATTCAACCCACATATCTATCACCTGTGATTAAATGGGTTTGTAACCCTAATGATGTTTGCGCCTACACCCCGTTCAATGGAGTTTACCAGCTGCGCAAGTGGGTATGGAAACCAGTTGGATCTACAACTTGGCTATGGCAACTACGAAGGTTTGTTCAAAACTAGGATTTCCTCAAATCCACTGGTTTATCGTCATGTTCACTATTCTTGAACAATCACTCAATCACTACCATTTTGCCTTATCCTCCTGTAAATCAAAATAGTTGTGTTTACAATTCACCATTTATAAACACTGTATCACTGTAATTTCCTCAGGAAATTGTACGTTTCCCATATCTTTTTGCATGTTCCCCCCAGGGAACACACCTGGGCAGCTGTGGGCCGCCAGGGTCGCGAGCCTTTAGAGGGCCACCGTTCCCGTCGGGGCGCACGAGGGCAGGCGCACGGACTCGTGGGGAGTTTGAACATCTGAAAATCATGGGGTCAGCATGCATAATGGTTAACCTACTAATTTATTATTATATGTATAATCTTATAGTTATTATACTAATTATAATTCTTATATTATACTAATATTATAGTTAACCATTAAATATATAATCTAATAATAAGAAGAGTTATTATATGTTATTATTATTTAATGGTGAATCTACTAATTTAATGCTAATGCATACTGCATAGTAATAATTACTAAAGTCATGATAATCTAATCTCCGGTAACCATAGTAATTGGACATCTCTTGATTAGTTGGATCTGATTCCTGGATGGTTTCTGTTTCCCCGAGAGCTTCCGAAAGCCAGGCCTTTGGCACAGCACCAGCTGAGGCGCCGCCCGAGATGGATGGTCTCGCAGCTTGGGCAGCAAATGGGGTTTGGTGTTTGAAAATGGGGGTATAACATGGATTAACATGGTATAACTACCGCGAAATGGCTAGCTTTGAAATGGGAAGTGTGTTGATCAAGATTAAACGATTCATCAAATCTTCGGGGGAGCCTATTTTCAGACAAAGCTAGAGGAACTGGTTGCTTTCTTCTTGGGTCCCTTTAGTTGAAGACGATGAAGTGCTATAGTTACCAATCCGCAGTACATTTTTTGAGTCATGAACTGAACGAGGGGCCTGTACCATACATGAAGTGAGTGGATGGGTGGGCCTGAGGACACGGGTCCGCGTCGTCAGAAGGTGTCTGAACTGAGGGAAACTTGACTTCGCCTTGTGGCTTGGGGTGGTGCTGGGGCTGGGAAATTATATAAGTTAGATTAAGCAGATTTTGGAATGCATCTGAGGATGGATGTGAGGATGGATGTTGCGACCAGAAGTCCATGTCAGGATTTAGTGAGGGATTATATCTGCAACTTTTAAAGCGGAGGGATCCCCAATGACCTTTATTTGCGCGTATGCCCCCCATAGTGGTCATAGCACCGAATTAAAGGAGGAATTTTACGATCAACTTTCTACGGAAATTTCCCAAACTAAAGGCCGTTATATTATCGGCGGTGATTTCAATGCTCGGCTCCATTACGTGAGGGAACATGAGAAAGATGTTTGCGGACCATTTATCATTGGAAGGGAGAATGATTATTTGAATAATATGAGTGATGCGGTAAAAGAAAACAGAGCTCTTTTCCTTGGTTTTTGCCAACTTCATGGTCCCAACATTCTGAATAGCCAGTATTCAAAACCACCCGATAAATTAATTACTTATAAATTATAAAGAGAAAATACATATCGGGGAAAATGAGCAAACAAATGGTCCCCCATTCAATGCTATTAAATACGGGCAAATTGATTACTGGCTTATCAACAACGAAGGGAAAAGAGCTGTGTTAGATGTCCAAAGTAGAAAAGACATTGGGTTTGACTCAGACCATTTCTTGTTAGAGTGTAGGCTTACCGTGACAACGATGTGTGGGAAGGAAGGTAACTCTTTCCAAACTAAACGTTGCTCCAAACCTGACCCTATGAAATGGAAGGCCTACAACGATAAAGTTCGTTCCCTACTAGACGGCAAGCGATGTGATTTAGACATTTTTACAAAAGCTATTTTGGAGGGAGCAGATGATGCACTTGATAGGGAGCCGAGGGAGGAAAAAAAGAAATTTATCAAACATGAAACATGGGAAAAAATCCAGGAAAGAAATGAAAAAACGCGGATCGGTGCGACAAAGAAAGATATTGCAGACCTTAATAGAGAAATTGCTCGCATGGCTCGAAGGGACAAGCAAAGTTGTTTGATAGAAGAATTTAACGAAAACCCAAATGACATCAATAAGAGGGGATTATGGAAAGCGGTCAAGGGTTTAAAGAAGAAATTTGTTCCAAACTATGTTAAGATGAAAAACTTAGATGGGAAGCATGTCCCTTTGAACCAAAGAGCTGAAACAATAGCAGACTACCTCGAAAAAATACATTGGACTAATCCAGTGGAACAAGCGGTGAACACTGGCAGTATACTTGAAGATAACAATGCTTTAGAAGAATGTTTCACGATGCCAGAACTTTGTACAGCAATTAAAAGGGCGAAACCCAACAAACAACCAGGCCCTGATGGGATAACCATGGAACTGGTTAAGTGGCTTGACAATGCCAACAGGCGCGTTTTACTAGATCTTATTAACACATGGTGGGAATCCCAAACAGCGCCGTCGGCATTGTTTCTTGCCCGTGTTGTCCCAATTTTCAAAAAGGGAGATACCGATATTGCTGCTAACTATAGACCAATCTCATTGTTAAACAGTTTTTACAAAATATACATGGTTATGATCAGGGCCAGGATGCAGGACGCGACGGAGCAAGTACTTTCAAGGACCCAGTACGGTTTCAGACCTCATAGATCAACTTCGCATGCAATATACATTCTCAGAAGGATTCAGGACTATTCAGAAATTAAGGGGACCCACCTTAGCATTGCTTTACTCGATTGGGAAAAAGCGTTTGATAAAATTCAACATGACAAGCTTATTCTTGCTTTGCGCCGACTGGGCTTCAGCCGTCGCTATACTGAGGTCATTGCGGATTGTTATTCTAAGCCTATGTTTTTCGTCAAAGATAATTTTGGTTCATCCAGTACTAAGCAACAGGCCTCCGGGATTCGTCAAGGATGTCCATTATCCCCATTTCTTTTTGTCTTAGTCATGACCTGCATAGACGTTGATATCCAGCAGAGCGTTTCATCGTATGTTACTAACAACCGAATCCCCGGGGTGGACTTTGACATGATTTTTTACGCAGATGACACAGTGCTTTTCTCAAGAAGCAACAGAGGGTTAAATGAATTGTTACGTCTCACCGAGCACGTGTCCAAAGGATATGGTTTGGGACTCAATAAAGGTAAATGTGTCGCAATCGCCATGAATAATAATGGTTCCATCCATTTTGACGATGGTACCCCCTTTAACAAAGGAATTCGAAGCCACATACTTGGGAAATGAAATAAACAAGACGGTCAATATTCAATTCGAGATCTTTAACAAAATGTCGGAAGTGCGACGCACATGGTACAAGCTCGAGCCGTACTGGAAAGCATCCGGAGCGAGTAAAAAATGGAAATTCATTATCTATGACGCCATAATTCATAGTAAATTGTTGTATGGTTTAGAAACCATTCACTTGACGCAGGCTATGAGCAGAAAATTAGATGCTTTCCAGATGCGCGGCCTACGGAGAATTTTACAACGCAACTCCACTTTTATAGACCGTAGAAATACAAACAAATCATTATTAGAAGAAGCAAGTTCCATCGCTTATCCATCTCGCTATGACCGCAGAAAAATTATACCGTTCAGTGAGTATCACATGAATAGACGAGTAAAATTGCTTGGACACATATTAAGAAGCAACGGCAATGACCCTATGAGGCAAATTTCTTTTCTACCTGATTCTGCGCACAGAGTTGAATACGGAACCAAGCGAGTTGGAAAGCCTCGTCAAAATTGGCTGCATCATACCAAAAAGTATGTTTATGAAAACATGTTAGGGCATTATGATTATGGTGAGACTCAAATGAACGATCAAAGGGTGTATGAAGCAGCCGTAAGCAGACAGTTTTAGCGTTCAGTCTCTTGCTGCGCCAACGCCTCGCAGCTAAATGGTCTAATTCAGTCGATGCGAGGTATGGCTGAAAGAAAAAGGATTTAGTGACACAAATGCATAGGATGACATTGCCAATGGTTTTGCCAGGGTCCATAGTGTATGGGCATGCATGGATTGCCCAGAACGTTGGCCAGCCATCAGTCGCACATATTCGATGTGCTTTGAAGCAAAGCCCGGGCAGTTCTGCGCGGAGAAGGGGTTTGTGTTCAGTACGTTTCATATCACGATAGCGCTATCGCTCAATTTCCTCTGGCGGATGATGGTCCCAACTGAAACAATGTTGGATGGGACGAGGCCTCCAACCAGTGCCCAGTTGTTGCTTACTATCCCACTTTCTGGCTTGTTATTTCTCAACTTATACATCCCCAGGGTTTCCTGTCGATTTTCCTTTATTGAAATCAATCCTTGACAATGTCACATATTTGTCGCACGAATCAGGGCTAAATGCCTCCAAATCCTCCACTTAGATGGTTTGACTATGTTTGACTATTTAAATCCCATCTAAATCACCAGTTGAGATTCCTTTAGATGCTTCAAGGCATTGGTAAAAGGCTGCTGGTTTGATTGCCGCTGTGTCCCAGCTGAGGACTACTCTTCCCGCCTCTGGCGCGGCTCCGACCCTGGGCTACCCCCATCGGCGGCACTACGGGACATCCCGGACGTGCCCGCTGCCACGCCCCGTGGTGCTGCGGCGGCGGCAGCGGAGGTGGGAAATCTGATGGCTTTGAAATGCCATGCTCCATCTTCCCACTGACATGGGCAACCTTCAAGGGTCTTTGTCCTTGCAGAATCAAGAGCCCGCAACAATCTTGGAGGGAAAACTTCAAAAACCATTGGTTGCCTCTCGATTTTCCCAAGAGCAGGAACGTGAGCTGGCACTTTTGACGGGCCGAAAGCGAGCACCTCCGGTGAACCATGGCTGAGAACTGCGTTGGCGGCAGTGGGGGCAGGTTGGAAGGGTGAAACATTAAGACCATCGCAAACAAATTTTAGACAATTTCAGGACAATGTAAGATCAGTTAAGACCCCAAAGAAAGGATTAACAGGTGGAAAAGATGGGAATATCAAATTGAAGATCTATAAAGGCGTTTGTTACTGGACCACCCGCCGCAGTGCCTTTGCCAAGACTCCACAGTTACATATCACAGCGACCTGAATTTGCACATGTTCTGCAGCCATGGTTTTCCTCAGACTTGAAACCACATGATTAGCTTCTTCAATTTCTTCATTCTTTGGCTTTGTTTGGACAAAAGGCACCCCAAAAGCGAACAATTGCCATTGAACTTGATATGAATTGGGGTATCTCCATCTTGGACGAAGCCATTGATATGCCTAGGACGAGTTCAGATCCGCTGGCCGGCATGCTCATGGGACTTGGCCAGAGTGGGGAGAAGGAGAAGAAAGAAAAAGAGAAAGGGAAGAAAGAAAAGGACAAGAAGAGCAAAGGCAAGCTGTTCGCTGCTGTCAACATTTTTTCCTTTTTTTTGAAGCTGTTTGGTTCCTTGAATTCCCTGTCACTCGGACCTGGTGTGAGATCCCTTTTTATTTTGTGATGTTCCATCCCCTATTTGGAATGCGATGATCCCAATTCTCAGTTGCTTGCCATCTTGCGGTGGGCTGGTTCGACTGCCAAACCCTGGCCAGGCAAGAAACACAAGAAGGACAAAGAAAAAAAGAAGAAACACAAAAAGGAGAAGAAGGCACAATGACCCTTGCCTTTCGAACACTTTGCTGGCCATGGCTAGTCCTTCGTCTTGGGCATGGCTGAGATCGGCATGAAATATTGCATTGGCATTTGTCACTTCATTCACTTAAGATGGAGCTCCATTTGCACAACACCTGTAGGGCTAGCTGGTAAGTCCTTTTCCACTTGGTGGCATGAAGCGACTTCATAAACCTTCGGAAGGGGTTTTCGGAGAATCTTGACGCTTGTCAAAAAGACTTGGGGATCATATTTTTGTGGATATTCCATTGGTCTGAGAATGATTCATCACTTGATGTTGGAAAAACGACAGCGTCACTGAAGAAACGGACGCAGGCGAAGAGTAGCAGCTCTTAACGCCTGCGTGGCCAAAGAGCCTCTGGAAAAGGGGTGAGATCTGGGTGAAACTGGGGCACAAATGCTGGTAAACGGCATTGTAAACAGCATGATCTAGAATGAATCCCTTTAGATGTCCCAAAATTAATTAATGCAACATTATTGTGGCTTTTTTCCTCCATTCTATTTCAATGAATGTGGGCAACCCAATGCCCGGTATGGTTTGATGACTTGGGGATAGTTTATGGCAGCCATAAATGGATATCGAATGGGAATATCATTGGGTTTGCCACATGATCCATTAATTACGAACCATTACTAACCATTACTAACTAATACTAACCATTATAAAGCATTACCAATATTCATTGTTTTTTTTCCATTCTATTTCCCATGACAAGTATTTCCATATCATGTTTCCATGTTTCCGCCCTAATATGTTGATTTCCAGCATAGGATTTATCCATTACAAATTAAATCAAATTACTAACCATGAGTAACCACCATCATTTTTTCCAGCATGTTTTGGTATGAGACAATATCTATACTTAGTGAGATATAAGTTTGATCTACCCCCAGCCCAGTAACAGCAGAGAAACGATTTTCCTTTAACCTACCCTTTCAAAACGAGCACAAGGAAATTGCTCCAAAAATCTCGGCTAGGCGGTGCCCAAAAAAAACGCAAACCTGCCCTCCAAACCCCTGATACAGAATCAAGACAGGGGCTTCACTTTCAAGATCGTTCAAGCATATCAGTTGCATTCCATGGCGAAGTGATTGTTGAACATTGAGAAAAGAACAGTGCAGACTATAGACAATACATTCACGTGTTACCCTGAGAAGGTGCGAGCAAGGCGTCTGCATCGTAGCAAGGACCAGAACATATTGTGAAAGAATTGGGCCGCTTGATGCAACTGGCACAATGTATCGTAATGTGCTGGAGCATGGAGTCAGATTGGCCATGTGGGAAAATGGCAGCGCAAGGCAGTCCATCCCAACCCTAAATCGCAAGCAAGTACCAAGCGTAAGTTAGTTTAACCATTGCCCACCAATAATATTAACCATTACTAATATTAATTGTGATTTTCCCAGTCTATTTCAAGTAGCATGGATAATCCCATGACAATTCGTGCCAGGCACGCTCTGGGCCCATTACTCTTTGGATTCGTCGCGGCGATAAGCCCCCCAAGGTGCTTAGCGCTGGAAGTTTCCAGCCTCCGGGTGTTATGTCAACCTCCAGGAAACTCCAGCACCTGGTTGTTTCTGGCAATTATAACTACGTAATTATAGTTAATATTAGTTAATGGGTTTATAAAGCCACGTGCCCCTTGGTAAATTAACATAGCTGTGGAAAATAGAGATGATTCACCTGTTAAAAGTGGCGTTCTATGGCTATTCACAGAGGCCAAATACTCTAGATCTGTCGATTTGTAGATCAATTCTATAGATGTAAAGAAACATGATGGAGAGTGATCTCATATATTCCCCAGAATGATATGTAAAATGTAAAATTCATCATTTCTAAATCGCATCCTGTGCAAATCCATGGGTTCAATAGCGACCTTAGTTTATTGCAGGATTTGTGATTTTGAGGAATGACTTGACATGCTTTACTAGGCTGTGATTTTATATTCAAAACTTGGAGATGTACATCTATATACGCATGCTATGTATGGTATGTGCTGCAAGGTATATAATGTAAATGAACACGTAAATGCGTGCCTGCGTATGTTACTATATACATAAGACAAATTGCAGAGGTATCTTTATTTGGTCTGTGACATCGTCATATCTTCCACGCCAAAACTGTATCAAGACACGCCGCCCAGGGTGAGCGGTGGCGAAATACGCCGGGGGGCCACGGCACGGGAAAGGTTCCTGGTCAAGCCTTGCGCTGGAGAACCCATTCTTTTAATAAAAAATCCTCCATTTATGTGGGTAAAACAACAATAAACCACCCCATTTTGATGGTTTATACCACCCATTTGTGGTGATTTTGGGGATTGTTTATTATTGTTTTAACTACATTAATGGAATTTAATGAGTAAACGTCACTGATCCAGCTGTGCTGTTACATCTATTGCGACTAGATTCTAGGATCACCTGAGAACATCTTTAGACTGCAAAATTCAACGCGCTACTCCTCGATTTCCCCATTGGTGGGTGGCTGAGGCTCAATCGTTCCAAGACGTTCGTACGGGCCCTCAGATTGGAGGATCTTCGAGCCACACTCAAATGAGAAGCCAAAAACGAAGCATTCAACTTAGGCCCTGCACTTGATACCACCAGCAAACAACGATCAATCGATGAATTACTGCAACTTCCCTGGCGCCATGTTCCAGATCCAGGATCGAACGGATAGCGAAGTCAGCAGTCCCGTGCGTGCATCAGTGCCAGCGGTTGGGGGGCTTGGGAGGTGGTCTTCAGGATTTCGTAGCCTCTGGTAATGGGGATCTCGGGAATATCACATTTTGACGCACACGCACACACGCACATGTATAGATATATACATATACTATATATATATAATATAATAAATCACATATTATAGTGCAAAAACGGGGGATGTTAGCAGTGTCACCCTCACCCTCTGGGAATTGGTGACATAGCTATGGAACATGGCCCATTTATAGATGACGCCTGATGATTTACCGAGCACGGATGGAGATTTTCCAGAGCTCGAACCGGGCCGAAAAATACTTCAATTTGCTTCGGGGAAGATTTACAGTGTTTGCCCATAGATTTGTGGTAAACATGTGGCTTCCTGTAGATTGTAGAGTTTCTCTTGGATCAATTCCTTGGTGATGTCTTCCTTGAGTGTTGAACCACACCTTTTTCGTGATTCAAGAGGGGTCACGAAATTTGAGCCATAACACATCCATATGTGCAAAAAGCTGGTATATGTCAGGGTCAAAACATGGATTATGCACATCTTGGGGGAATCAATCCCTTGGGGTCAAAAAAGGGGTTTTATAGCCCCATTTTTTGAGGATTCGGCATGAGCCAGGCCTGGAACAAGTTGCTGGAGTACCTCACGCCACGCTTTTCTGTGGGATGGGTCTCCAAATCATTCCAAATCCTCTGAACCATTGAATCAATGGATTGGCTTAAGGGAAAATCTACAGGAAACCATAGATGTTCCCATGAAGTATAGGGGTTTCCTGTAATTTTTCCCTTAAACCAATCCATTCATCCATTGATTGGATCGTAATGCGAAAATATGCTAAACACCGATGGCCCCCCAAGATTGAAACAACGCATAGCAGGCATAGCATTTATCATTCAGGTGGGTGAATTTCCCAAGAAAGGGATTACAAGTTGACGCGAATGCCAGACATGGCATTTCCAGTCAAAAGCCGTCTGGCTGGAGTCCCGATTTCTCTAGATTGCTTCGGCAACAGGGTTTCGATGGCAGGATCTAGAGTGACAATTCAGATCAATTCAGGTTCTTTTGGGGCTTCAGAGGTCATGTCATGATGGGCTAGTGAGCACGGCCTCTGCCAGTGCGACGCTGGGTTCGAAGGAAGAGAAGGAGGAGTGGGATGGAGCGGGCAAGTCGGCCATGGGTTTTGCCCTGCGTCCATTGCCAGCGTATTTTACGTCATTCATGCCCATGCCGCTTGCATGTCCGGCCTTGAATTTTAAAAGGTTGGAATCTGCAGTTTTGTCAGGACTGGTTGGTGGTTTGGAACATGAATTTTATTTGTCCATTCAGTTGGGAATGTCATCATCCCACTTGACGAACTCCATCATTTTTCAGAGGGGTTGGTCAACCACCAGATGAGTTTTTACCAAAGAGATGGGCAACGCCTGCTCCAAAGAGGAGAGCCCAAGATGGTGGATTCATTCATTCCACCCATTTATTAACAAAAATTATATCCCATTCATTGATGTATGGTATATTTATATAATGGTATATAATAGGTTTATATCTGAATATAACCATTATATTTACATGATTTTACATAACCTTTATTGATGTTGAAAAACTCATTCCTGATCCCGAACTGCAGGATCCAATGCAGAGGCCTGGGCTCTGGAGGGGAGAAGAAACATCCTTAAGCTCGGGGGATTTCGATGATATCATGGGGAATTCCTTAGCAGTGTTACCGGAGGGGACATGACGTATCAACAGTTCGTGTTTTTTTTCATGCAACGATCAAGAGTGATAATTGCATATAATTAACTATTTCCGACACATGGTCGCAAGTGCATATTAGTTGTGTCGACATGCTTATCTAAAATACGGTAGTAGAATCAGTCAAGAGATAGATAATTCAGGTTCATAGATAGCAGCATAGATATGACATGATACAAACTATTCTGGTTAGTGGTTTGGAACATGGCTTCTATTTTCCACCATATATGGAATGTCATAATCCCAACTGACGAACTCCATCATTTTTCAGAGGGGTAGTACGTCAACCACCAACCAGTAATGAGTATTCATATTTCCAGGACGTTGACATCACTATGGAAGTTCCAGCATTTGTGAATTCCCCCCCCCGCCTTTGTAGATCATGTTCCATTTTCGGCAGCCACAGATTTTTCTCAATTCTATGTGATATTTGTTCCATCGTTTCTTAGCGACTTGTTTCTTCCTTTTCTTCCACCGAAACTTTTTTTTTAAGTAAAAGAACATACACCAAAAAAACAAAAGAAACACAGAATGTTGGAAATCCAGTGATCTACCTATAGTTTTCCAACTTTTTTTTGTGTTTTTCCAACATTTTGCAGCGATTTTTTTCCATTTTCTCCCGTAACGGGTCGTCTCTTTTGAGATCCGTCCGCGCCCACCAGTCACGACTTGGCATCCACGCTGCCGCCCAATGCCATGCGAAATTTGGCCGTGAGGCGGCCATTTTCGACGGTGGATGTCATTGGCATGCGGAAAATTGGGACTTTACACTCAAGTAAATTAACATAGACACTGAAAATCGCCAATTCTTAGTGGAAACTAGTCTTCCAACCCCCATCTGCCAGGGTCTATGTTAATTTACCAGAGGGTAACTTGAATGGTGAAAAATGGGTGAATTCATCACTGGGAATGACATTGGATGGCTTTGGGAATAAACATTGATTCTATAAACATTAGGAGCTACTCGTAAGCAACAAGAATGAAACCAGCTGAACATGTGGATTTAGCAAGGGACAAAAACAAGCAGTGGATTTCACCATCCAAGAATGGCTTGATGTGTGGCGAAGAAAAGTAGATCTTGCGAGATCTTGCGAGAACAACGAGGGTGAATCAATGGATCGTCTCCACCAAGCATATGCTCGTCATGACACCAACAAGTAAGTATCTAAATGAGATCTAAATGAGTAAGATGAGTGCTCAGGGACTTGGCACCTGCGCACCTACTTACCACCAGCGTGGAAGCTCCCATTCTTTCATCGTTCCAGGTTCCAAGAGATGCAGGTGGAGCCGGCCGAGCCAGCACGCACTGTGGCCTGATTCCTCAGAGCTGAGTCAGTTGAAATGTCCATTTTTTGGGGGGAAGTTCTGAGGATTTTTTGAAGGAACGCTTGCAGTAATTCTCCTCCTTTTTGGGAAACATCTACGAATTTTCGGGGTAAATTAGATTCTAGAAGTTGGACATTCCAGTGAAAGTCAGCTTTTTGGTTTTAGTTCATTTTTTTTTTCGGGGGGGTCAAACTTGCCAAGCTCTTCTCAAGAACCATTTGGAAGATTTTGATCAGCCCCTCAAGCAACGGCAATCGAGAAAAGCATACAGGACGTTCTTCTGTTCAAAGAAAGGTTTGGTTTTATGCTTCATCTATCCAAGTTGGGAGAGTTAGGAATCTCAGATGACCTATGATGCCTGTTCTGCCTATGTTTTATATCCCATATTTACCACAGATGTTGCCGTGGACGGTGAGGAAAATCCCTCCGAGGTCGCCCGCTCCTCAGAGGTTATCTCAATGGTCCCTGGTGATGATGCCTATTGTGAATTACGATCGTTCTCCTCGTTGTATGACATTTTGTTTTATCTTGTATTATCAAACATTTCCCCTTGATTTTTGATTACCACCAAAAAAATGCAACCTTTATCCCCCTTTTGATCGATTTAACATGATTTAACGATGGCCATGACTATCAAAGGTCTGACCTTTGGGGACGGTTTTTGCTTCACAGGTGAAGCCCTTTTTGTCGAAGGTCATGGCCAATGCCATCAGTTGGAATCCCAGTGCAGGGGGTGCCCGCCGTTGCGTTGGGTGATATCTCCGATGAAGCTAATGAGCCAAATTTGTATAGACACGCGCACACACCAAACACACACACAGATAATACACAGACAGATAGATAGATAGATAGATAGACAGACAGACAGACAGACAGATAGATAGATAGATAGATATACACATACACATGACACACACACATATATATATATATATATATAAGCATCTGTATTCTTATATGCAAACTATTTGTTTATTCGGCAGTTTGTTTCTGTAACAGCAGAAGCCTTACGCAAGAAGCAGCAGGGCCAATGATCCCTGTCGCCCCAGGTCATCTCGACGACGATCCTTTGAACCGATCCAACCTGCCGGGGCCTCGTTTTTTTTTGTTTCCAGGGCGACTTGCTGAAGCAAATGTTGGACACACCACATGTATAGAACATATTACTATAAAATCCATATCATATACTGTATATGTATATATATATATATGTATATTTATAATATTGATATTGATTCCCTATACTCCGGCATATGTAATTCTAGAAGTGATACCAATATTCATATCTCTTACACACACATATATGTATATATAATATATATATATATGTCACAATAAAAATACACATTTTTACCTTTAGACATATCACATCATGTTTATGACATGTAGTGGTCACCTGACCGCGAAAGGTCGATGCTTTCCATGTCCTTCTCGGATCAATCTTCGCTGCCGGCCTCTCCTCAGGTGGAGTTTCGCCGGGCCTGTCTCGATCAGTTGAGGTATCATGGGATATAACGAAGAATCATGGTTAATAATGGTTCATAATGGTTAATAATGGTTAATAATGGTTAATAGTGGTTAATAATGGTTAATAATGGTTAATAGTGGCTAATAATGGTTAATAATGGTTAATAATGGTTAATAGTGGTTACTAATGGTTAATAGTGGTTAATAATGGTTAATAGTGGTTAATAGTGGTTAATAATGGTTAATAATGGTTCATAATGGTTCATAATAATGGTTCATAATGGGAATAATATGGAATAATGTGGGTAAAACAATGTCATAAACCATCCATGACTGGGAATGGCAAACATACCACCAATAAAACTGGTGATGACTGGGGGATGGTTTCTTATTGTTTCACCCACATTATATAATCCAATAAAATCTCCCAAGTACATATCCCAATCACCAATGAATTACAAATGATTTACCTCTTCAAAGTCTGGTGATTTTTTTTGTCAGTTTGTCAGGTGTCGCGCCTGCCGTTGCCCATCAGCCCTGGGGGCAAATCGCAGGCATCCTGCATTACGGAGGCGCGGTGGGCAAATCACTGGGGGGCCCAGCACCTTCTAAGGTAAGGAAGGTTGTAGGAAAACTATTGCCGCAAGGCGGGACACATACACACACATATATATATATTATATATATACACATAATATTATATATATATATATTTATATATACACACCCATTTCATCTCCAAGTAGTGTATCTGGAGTGTTGGGAGCCTAGCTGTTGATGAATGTGAGCGGTTCCGTGTAAACATATATATATATATACTTGGGTGTCACTAATTCTATTTTTTGATGTTTACAATTGGAATTATCTACATTTTTTGGGCCCCCCTACTTTCAAACATCATAAAGTGGACAAGTTATGGGCCTGGATCATTTCTTTGAATACTTGGGATCATAACACAACTCAAGACTTGGATACATTTGGGTGCGGGACACCAACACATTTCTGAGTTACGCTCCTATAAGCTAACGGGTCGATGTGGGTTTTCCCCGCCATTTGGCGCCGATCATTTTCCGAACCCCTTCAGAGCTGAGCCCAGGGTGAGTCTCCTTCGGATATCATGGCGCAGGCCTACACTGGCGCCAGTGGCTAAGGGCGAATCTTACCCTCTGGTTATTTCTTCGAGTTTTCAATGGAACATCCCATATTCATCGATGGTTTATGGTGATTTATGATGGTTTACGATGGTTTATGTTGATTTACCTCTTAAGTTTCATGGTGATTTTCCAGGTTGCGACGGTTGCATTTAAGAATCAGGGGGCACCAACTTGCCATGGTGGCGTCAGGAAGCGGCCCTGGAGGCCATGAAAGATGCCAGTGAGAAGGTGGAACTCCATGGGAATGTGAGGTCAATGTCCATTGGATGTTTAGTATTGGGAAGATCCCTTGGAATACTAAACTTACTAAACATTCAGGTCTTCCAATGTTCATAAACATTGGATGTTTAGTATCCACCATGAAAACAGTTTTTTTGGGGTACCCAATCATGAACGACTCATAACCTTATAGTTATAGTTTTGAGGAATCCTTAGCTAAACCTGCATTTAGCGGGATTTTCCAGCGTGCCATGTGTGATTACTGGAGGGTAAAGAGAAGAAACTTAATTCCTAGGCCATTCAGAATGTGGGGAACATTTTTATTCAACTACCGACCAGAGTGCATTTACTCACTTAAGGATCGGATAGACTTATCGTGTACCTGGGCCCCTGAGAGCTTTCCGGACACTTTTCAGGTTTCTATGTATGTTTTGCTCTGCCTTACCTGGGAAGGAGCAATATTGTTACCCCGGCAAAACGACGGAGAACAGCGAGATCCTTAACTAGCTCAGAGTAGTAAAAGGATAAGAAAGGTGAGATACCATCAATCCACATTACAGCAAACATTGGAAATCACTTGAAATCACATTCATATTTTGACATCAAACAACAGCTTAACAGGATCAGCAAATCAGCCCATGGATACCATCAATCCACATCAACAATCCGCATGAGTGTGCATTTGGCGAAAATGAGGTGCTAAACCATCAAATTCGGATGGGTTTCCCCTCAATGTTCAGACAAAGCCACATCTATAGTAACCATCAAAAAGAATCATAAAAAGATAGAAATTGGCAAAATCCGCATCTCGAATAGTGACAGTCCTTGCTTTAGTAGGAACATTTCTAGGAGGATTTCTAGTGGGCTTCTATGCCTTTCGGCATCTTGGTGGGGGGTCATCGGATAGATATGCCCTAGTGAAATTGGAGTTGTAATCCAAGCTAGCTATCTTTTCTGGGAAAAATCCCCAGTTATAAGTTGGTTTATAATTCCCCCCCATCAATATCCATTAAGTACATAGATATATAGATTAGATATATCTACTGCAAACACTAGTGGAATTGGAGCTGTAAACCAGCTTAGCTGTTTTTGTTTGGGGGGGTTATTAAATCGTTTCAAATCACCAGGCCAAAGAAACAGCTAAGGTTAATGCTAAGAGGTTTATTCTTTTCATTTGAATCACCCTTTGAATCACTTAAGCTGATGACATGGGCCGCTTTAGAATCACCATCCCGCAGGCCAAGATGGAGGAGCTGAAACGGCAAGCACAGGCTGAGCAGGCGCGTGACTTGGGCCGTTGATTGGGATGGCAAGTGAATTCAGTTTTTGGAAGATCTTTCCCTTATGGCAAAGAACTGGTTTCAAACACTTTTGGGCGCTGTTTATATCTATTTATATATATTTTTTGAAATGCTTGAGCTATAGTTAGTCATTGGTACCCCATGTTTGAGCCATCGACATGTCAAGAACTTTGTCAGGATTTACCAACAAAGCCAATGTCATGAATTTCCACCGAGCATGGCAACATCTTGCCAATAGGAATGGCACTGTTCCCGGCGAATGCTGGTGCTTTCACAGTGGTTTTCTCACAAGTCGACCTAAGAGAGGAATTTCACGGAGGGAACCTCAACAAAGGCAAGATCCGCTAGGAAAATCATCTGCCAGACCCCGGTCTCTCCCGTTGACACAAAGTTTGTTTCATGATCATCCCTGATCCGTCCATAACTGGCTCATAAGTTAGGTAAACCAACCATTAAGTGACATATCATTGTATGTCTTTCAATATAACAAATAAATCAAACCCACATATTTACTACTTTCATACTTACCGCTTACTACTTGCCACTTACTACACAACACACACATATATATATATATATGATCATACAAAATTATATAATAATATGATATATATATATATAAATAAATATAAATATAAAAATCAATAAATAAACAAATCAATAAATAAATATAAATGAATAAATCAATAAATAAATCAATAAATAAATAAATATATATATACACACATGCATACGCACATATATGAAGGTTTCCTAAGTCATGGAGCTGCCCGCTTGTCATCCTGGCGAGGCCCGGGCCCAGGAGGCCATTCGTCGGGCGCAACAGGAGCAGACCGCGATTTCCCCGTTTTTTTTTGGAGAGGTTTTTGGATGATGAATGGATCGATGATTTCCCCAGCCAAGCTTCATTAAGAAAAATGGATGGTTAATCATGGTTCATATGAATCATGGTTAATCATATGGGCGGTTCCATTTTGATTTATTTCCATTTTATCTTTAACCAAAAGCATATGTGACTTTCAGGAACATAGGGAATAACCATGATGACGACTTGGGAACATGCTGACTTTACATGTGCTTTACTTTAGTTGTAGTGGGACAACCCTTGCGGATGACACACTTAGCTAGCTAGGTGTTGGACCAGTGATGGTGTATTGCAGTAGCAGGAGGGGTCAGCATAAACCAACGTCAGCCTATAAGCTTCCAAGCCTCTAAGCCTCTAACCAGCCTATACGCCTCTAAGCCCGGCGCCCCTAAAACAAGAGATCAAGCAGAAAGCCTCTAAGCCTCTAAGCCTCTAAGCCTCTAAGCCCCTAAAACAAGAGATCAAGCAGAAAGCCTCTAAGCCTCTAAGCCTCTAAGCCCCTAAAACAAAAATCAAGCAGAAAGCCTCTAAGCCTCTAA